TCAATGGGAAGAACAAGATCCATGCCATCAACATGTGTGCCCTGCCAGTCATCAGATACCCCGATAGTATAGTGAGCTGGGCAAAGGAGGGCATGGAGGCTGCCTATATGAAGATTGTACACCATTCACAAAGATGGTGGGCAGGGTCTGATGAGTATCAAAGCCACTGTCCTGGATGAAACCCAGAGCATCCAGGAGTGCATCAGTAAGATGGCACCCAAAGATGAGATGTTGAGAGAATGCCTGAGGCAGTAGCAGACATGGGAGGAAATTCACGTGGAGGAAGTACCATGGCAAGACAAGTGCTTGCATGGGATAAAATACCATCGACAAATAGCTCAAATTGCTGACATTGGAAATCCTACCAGTAGCTGGAAAGGGCTGGACTAAAAGACAGGACTGAGGCACTGATCATAGCAGCACAAGAACAGGCACTAAGCACTACAGCCATAAAAGCAGGGGTCTGCCGTACTAGACAGAATCCAAGATACAGATTGTTCAAAGACACCTTGGAGACAGTCCACATAGTGCCAGGGTGTAAGATGCAGGCAGGAACAGCATATACTGAATGACACAACCAAGTAGCTGGCATTGTGTACAGGTACATCTGCACAGTATATGGGCTAGATCCTCCCAAGTCCACATGGGAGATTCCACAGAAAGTTGTGGAGAATAATAGAGCTAAGATCCTGTGGGACTTCCAGATCCAGACAGACAGGCAGTACTGGCCAATCAACCAGACTTCATGGTGGTAGACAAAGACCAGAAGACAGTGGTAGTGATAATGACAGCTATGTGCTACGTGCTACGTGCCAAGAGACAGCAACATCAGGAAGAAGGAGTATGAGAAACTGGAGAAGTACCAGGGTCTGAAGGAGAGGATATGGAAAGTAAAGGCCAAAGTGGTCCCAGTGGTGGTAGGAGCACCCAGGGCTGTGACTCCTAAGCTGGGAGAATGGCTCAACAGGTCCCAGGAACAACATCAGAGCTCTCTGTCCAGAAGAGTGCAGTGCTAGGAACAGCGAAGATACCGTGCAGAACCCTCAAACTCCCAGGCTTCTGGGAGGTTGAGGAAGACACATACACTCCATAACGGTGAGAGGGGAATTTTTATATATAAAAACTAAATAGTACAATATTTTAGAACCTATAAAATGACAACACAAATGCTAGCAAAAGAATCAACAGTATTAATTCAGGTAAATCCTGTATGACCATTAAACCATTTGAGCTTGAACAGAAAACATGTAAACTCAATATTCTTTTTTCTTTTCTTTTTATTTTTAGCTTACTTTAATGCTATCATTGTTTTCAGTGCAAATGAACAAGATTTGCATAGACAGTCCAAAATTCTTCCAAATATTTTTTATAAAATATCCCCAGTAAAGATGAATTTAACTCAAGAATTATTTATATTTTTAGAGCCTATAAAAGACTCTTAAAATATAAATAATTCTTGAGTTAAATTCATTGTTTCACATTATTTTGTAAGCATTTAGTATTTCATTGTATTATTGGCACAAATGCCTAGAAATTATCACTGCATAAATTGTAATTGCCTATGGAAAAGACATATATTTAATCCCTCACATTTCCAAATGTTGACTGAAAATATACTTCATATTTTGCTATGGGTTGGGAGAGAGAGAGCGAGAGAAAGGGAGGGAGGGAGAGAGGGAGGGAGAGAGGGAGGGAGGGAAAGAGAGAATGTAGTTTCCTTTGGGCTTATTATGGAATTCTAATATGATTTAAATTGAATTTTTTAGAATCACTTTTTTTATTTTTTTTACCAGTTGCTTCCCACTGCTATGTTTAAGGTGGAAGAAATATGTGGGGGGAAAAGGATCATTTTAATGAACATCCAAACTAAGCAGACATTTTGCTTTTAAAATAACATTTCAATATTTACAATTTTCCAAAATCTCTCTATTTTGAATCAAAATTGAGATTGCTTTTATCATTCTTGACGCACTATAAGACGAGCTGCAGCAATCTCACTATGCTTATTGGTAGTTATTTAACAAATGCAAGTTATCATCGTTAGTTTGACTTGGCGAATATATGGCTTCTGAAATTTTAGTATTGTTATTGGATTGAATTTTTTAGCACATATACCCAAACCTAAACTTGAAATTTATTTTACACCAAAAATGGGTAATACATTT